CTTGGGTCACTCTAAATCCTATCAAGTTGACCACAACCCTTACCCAGCATTTAAGAAGCAACCCAGCAGGTCTTTAGGTCCGCAGATGTGCACTCTTGACGGAGACTCTGGGGCTCTGGTTTCTTTCTCTTCTCTTTCGTTTCCTGGTCATGGGGTGCGTGGTTTTGCTCTGTTATGTACTTTTCCAGCCTTGTCATAGGCCCTTAGCAATGGACCAAACAGTCATGGGCTAGAACCTCCAAACCATGAAACAAAACCTTCCTCTTTACAAAAGTTCATTATCAAAAACACTGGTTCTCAGCCTTCCTGCTGCAGCTCCTAATACAGCTCCTTGTGTTGCAGTGACCTCCAGCCATAAAGTCATTCCACTGCTACTTAATCACTGTAATTTTGCTATTGTTATGAATCATAATGTAAAGATTTTTGGAGAAAGAAGATTGCCAAAGGATCGAGACCCACAAGTTGAGAAGCAGTGATCTAAAGTCTTCGTCACTGTGACAAACGTTAGCATATAAGGTTAAAATACACACTAGAGGTGGGCGATGGCAGTGCACACCTTCAATCTCAGCCCCTGGACCTCTGTGAGTTCATGGCCAGCCTGGTCTACAAATCAAGTTCCAGGACAGACAGGCCTGTTACACAGAAAAAAAAAAAAAAAACAAACCCTGTCTTGAAAAACCAGACAAACAAACAAAAACATACTAAAATCGTTTTGAAGATTACATCGATCTAATGATCTTAAGAACCTAATAGCAAAGCTGCAGAGATAGTTCAATAGGTAGAACATTTGCTTTGTAAGCCTAAGACCTGAATTTGATCCCCAGAACCACATAAAAATGATGCTAGTTATAGCATTATGCTCATAATTTGAGCACTGAGAAATGGAAACAGGAGGACCCGTAGGGCTCATATCTCAGCCAGTCTAGACTTATTGTGAGCTCCAGACAAATAAGAGACCCCTATTTTTAAAAACATTATTTATTTATTATATGTACAGTATTCTGCCTGCATGTATGTCTGCAGGCCAGAAGAGGGCACCAAATCTCACTATGAGCCACAACGTGGTTAGTTGCTAGGAATTGAACTCAGGATCTTTGAAAGAACAGCCAGTGTCCTTAAGCATTGAGCCCTCTCTCCAGTCCAAGACCCCAATCAAAAAGAAATGGATGGTGTTCATGAAGTTAACACCTAGGGCTTCCACCTGCATATGAATACCTGAGCACATATAAAGACACAGGCTGGAAATGAAGCCCAGAGACAAGGCACTTAACTTGAAGCTAACACAAAACACTCTAACAAGTTCTTTACTATGTGACTCTATTTCCTACCTTATTTCAATGGCTAACACTATTGTGATGTTCCACACGATCTTTTATCTAAATGATTACATTATTTATTCATTATCATTACTATTGCATGTGTGCATATGTGAGTGGGCATACATACCACAATGTGTGTATGGTGGTCAAAGGACAATTTTTTGGAGTTTGTTCTCATCTTCCATGTTTCCATGGGTTTCAGGGATCAAACTGAAATCAACAGGTTTTCCTGGCAAGGTTTTTATTCACTAAGCCATCTCAGCAGCCCTGGTTGCACTAATCCTTAAATTCTATTTGTTTAAAGTTGAATGGAAACTTCTAACTAAACCGTTCCTTTGGGAAGGTCAGAGACTTTGGTGTTTTCTCTTTACATTTATTTTTAATTTTGATTGATGTATATGCTATAAGTGTGCCAGTGCCCTCAGAGGCCACAAGAGGACATTTGATCCACTGGAGCTAGAATCCTAACATGGGTGCTGGAACGGAATATGGGTAGTAGCTGTTAACCAAAGTGTCATTCCTCCAGCCTGACTTCAAGGTTTTTATATCAGGTTTGAAGCACACTGCACACACCAGAACTTAATGAATATTTATTGAAATGATTATCACAACAAAGATCTTATCTGAAAGTTTATTATAGGAAATGACCTTTTCGGCATAATGAACTCTTCAAGGACACTTAATTTCAACTCATACCATCATTCGGTTATTATTAAGTCACTTCAAATACTTGGTAGCAAATTACTACCATTGCTATTTTAAGTTTGAGGACAATGGCTTCCCTCGGCTCAACTTTCTAGATTTTTTTTCTATTTTTAATTGAATCAGTATATTTATTTATTTATTTATTTATTTATTTATTTATTTATCGAGACAGGGTTTGTCTGTGTAACCACCCTGGTTGTTCTGTAACTCACTCTGTAAACCAAGCTGGTCTCCTACCCACAGAGATCTCTGTCTCTGCCTCCTGAGTACTGGGTTTAAAGGCAGGCATGCGCCACCATTGCCCGACTGAATTTTAATTTTATTATTATTGTGTGCTGTTGTCAATAGCGAAAAATTGGAAATTGATTAAAATACACTGATACATCCTACTGACCACTGAATATTATGCTGGCTACATATATAGATCGCACACCTATGCAAAATTTGTACAAATATTCGTACAAATTTCAAAAAATTGTTAATGGTGATTACTACTACTTGAGAGTGATACTGGGGAGAAGATGCCAGAGATGTGGAGACATTTACTTATCCATAGCCTTACTTCCCAAAGTTAAGTTTGTTTTTAGATTTATAATTATGTATATAGTGTTCTGTCTGCATGCATACCTAGGAGCAGAAGAGGGTGCCAGATCGCATTACAGGTGGTTGTGAACTGCTGGGAACTGAACTCAGGACCCCAGGAACAGCAGCCAGTGTTCTTAACCGCTGAGCCATCTCTCCAGCCACCCGAAGGTGTTTTAAAAGCAATGTGAGGAATGCATGAGTTTACATTGTACATTAGGCAACACTGTGAAGAAGAAGAAAAAAAAAACACATAAAGCTAGTAATTATTTTGTTACCCAGGAAAAATTTCATCTTTACTATTACCTTTTACTGGAGTTCAATCATTCGAGTTTTTTGAGAGACACCACACATACCCCTTCACTCAATTAACAATTGCTGGCACCTACTTCACCATAGGTTCTGCTCTTAGCCAAATAAAAGAGCAATGCACAAAACCAGAGGAGCTCCTCACACACTGTAACGGAAACTGAGGACAAATGCACACGTAACTTTAATCAGTGGAAAATGCTACCAAATGAAGACCCGAGTTTCCAAATGCTGAAAAGTTCAAGTGTATTATGTGCATCCACACATTCACCCATACATGCCAATTACTGGAGCATTATTTTTGAATTTTAAGTTTGACGTATGAATTAGTCCCTTTTATTTTTACATTTATAATTTAGTAGCAAGAAACTTAAAAATCGCGAAGGACAGCTGTGTGACCTTAGGGCAACCGGCGGCTTTTGCCCTGCTTCCTCCTTTGCGAAATGGAGTGTTAAACTTCTCAGGATTGTCACAGAATAACTGTCACTAGTGCCTTGTAAATGGGAGTGGGGCGGGGTTGAACCGGGCTGGGGGCCTAAACTGGCACTGGGTAGCACGCACGCGACGGGGTGGCCTTCTGCAGACTTGCGGGACCGCAGGGTGCACGAAGGATAAGCGCAAAGCTTTCGGGTTTTCACCCCCGTGGTTCTGTCCGCCACGGTCCATTCCGCTGCGCCTCTGGGGACCAAGCGCAGCACCGGGTCACCGGGCCAGCCACGCTGCTCCGCCAGCCTTGCGCAAAGGCCGCCTGCGCGGCGATCGCAAGGCCGCTCCCAGCCGCCGACCGTCCTAGCCGACTTGGCTCGAAGCAGGCGGCTGCTCGTTTGAATTCTGGCGCCACTCCCACGCCACGTAGAGCCGAGCGGCCCGACAGACTCGGAAGAGATGGGTGGCAGCGTGCCGGCGGGAACGCGCACATAAATGGACGCGCACGCGGCCGGCGGCAGGCGCGCACCACGCCCCAGAATGGCCCGGAAGAAAAGAGCGGCGGCGCGCGCTCCCACGCGGTGCCTCAGAGAAAGACCACGCCCCTCCACTGCACCGAGACCAATCGGTGCGAGAGGGAGGGGCAGCCTCGGGCTCACGCCACGGAGGCTATAAAGGGAGCTGCAGGCGGTAACGCTGGTCCTTTTACGTCGGCGAGCTGAGAGGGTACGGTTCTTTGTTGGTGAGTTTGCTGTGTGGACGGAGGGCCACGCGAAATAGCGTGGTCCTGGGTGGAATTGGAGGCTTCTGTTTTGTGCGACAGCCTCGGAGGCTTGAGGTTAGCGTGTCGTTGAAAGCTTGCTCAGGGAAATGCGCATCTGCAAGGAGAGACTGCAGGATTGGAGTGCAGGCCCAAGGAGGTTGGGGTTGGGTGGCCTGACTCGTCTCTGGGGTCTGGTTCCTCAGCCCCATCAAAGGTGGGTTCTGACATGCGGGGGAAGGGTCCAGGAGTTAAGAGCTGTTCAAAATATATTGGTGTTGCCCAAGATTCGAGTGATTAAAAAGCAATCCTTTCACAGGAGCGATGACGCCATCTTTTTGTGGGTCTTCAGAGCGGTTGCAAAGAAATGCCCAGGTAAGGGTGATGCAGCTTAGGATTATAATTGAACGAATAGACCGATTGTGTGGTGCTTAAAATTTTGCTTTTTTATTTTTAATTAGATGGAGAGAGGCCCAAATCATCCAAGAAAATTAATGACAAAAAGTAATTTGTTTAAGACCTGACTCTTTTAAAAGGTGTGTATGAAGCCTAGATCTTAATTTTTGTCAGCATAGACATGCTTACATATAAAGCTTGTATGAGTAGCTTCCTACTTGCTAATGGATTCTGAAACTTAATGATTTGAGTGATTATAGAATTGAAGAGCCACCGTTGGTTTTGTTTTTTTTTTTACACAGTCGCGGGTTATGTCTCAAAGATGGTTACATGTGCAAAAAAGGCTTTTGTAGATAATTACGTAGTATGTCATGGTGCTTTTTTCTGCCAGCAGTGAAAGGAGCACCGAGATGCCAGCTGCGTGTAAAGTACCTAGAGCTCCTCGGAGAATCGAGTGTGAGTGGAGGGTGTTTTGCTTTGTTTTCTGAACATGTTTCTGGTCTAATCCATGATGATCCTATCCCGAATCTGAATTTCTGTTGAAAAATCAAAATTACGGATCTGGCTTCTGAGATGGACCGTTATAAGGGCACCTTTAAGTTTTTTAGTGTTGGTAGTATTGTAATCGCTGTGTTTCTTTTTCTAGGGCCAGAGACAAAAGGCTTTGCTGGCGAATGAGAATTGGAGGTGGTGAAAAGGCAGACAAGAAGATGTGCAGTGTTGACTAGCGTGGTCACAGTTGAGGTCTTGATATGGCCTTGGCTGTCCTCCATCTTACCTCCCAAGCACTGGGACTGTTTGCAAGCAGAGCCATCTGTGATACTAGTTTTTATTAATGAGGAGAACGTGAGATCACGTTTACAAAAAGTTGTGGGTTGTACGCAATTAGTGGATGGGAGTGTATAGTCGTTGGTCCTGTTGGATTTAAAATGTGGGTGGAATTAAAGCTGGGTGAACATTTTCGTAGTTTCATGAGAATCTTTACTGGGATCATGACACTGTCTAGTGAACAGAATTCTGTGTAAACAAGACAGCATATGATGTGGCCTGTAGAATTTGTTGTATGCCATATTTTCTTACCTGGTGGAGCTTACTGTGAATGCTGCAATAAACGTTCAGTTGCAACAGCTATTTCTTCGTTTCTTTGTGTTGGTGGTGGATCAACACCTTGCTGCCCTTTTTCTGCTGCATGGCAAATGAGGGTTTTGGGGTGCCATCTCCAAATAGCATTATTGTATGGGGGATTTGTGTTCCTTTTGAGGGAGGGCCTTTCCAAGCACGGTTTCTCTGGGCCAGGCTGAACTTAAAGTAGTTCTGCCTGCCTCTAGTGCTTTAGTTAAAAGGTACAGCCTTGCTTGCCCTTCTATCTTTACTTCAATTAGCTGTTTGTAGTGGCCAGGGATTTTTAAGTTAGATGGAATTTTCTTCCATTGTCTTGTACTTTGTGGAGTCGGATCCAAAACTGCCTCAGTAGCCCAGCTTATTGTTTTAAGTGGCTTAAGATAATGCTTAAGTAATTCACTTAGTCTAAAATTTTTATGTAATGAGAACAGAATTTAGTTTTCTCCCCTATAATAGCATCCAATTCCTTGCTGCCTTTGGAAAAGGAGATGACTGAATACCCCATTCTTTATGGGTTCTCGAGGCCCATGTGCCTCAAGCCAGCATCGTGCTGTTTGGGTGTAGTTGAAACATCTTTTGGAGTCAGATCGGATATTATCTAGCTTGATAATTGTTAGCTCTGCGTGTGGTTCTGTACAGATTATCATTTATAACCTACGAAATAATGGCAGTGCTGCTTTGTATTTTATAAACCTTTTAGTTTTTATCAACGACTTGAGAGGACTTGCATATTTTGAACCAGCTCCTTTTTTTGTTTCTTGGTCTTTGAGTTGTCTTTTCTGCTAACTGCATCCTCCATTAACTGACTTATTTATTAATATTTAGAACATTAAAACTCTTGATACTCTGCTTATTATTGGATTTGGGTGGGTTTTTTAGTTTTTCAAAACAGGGTTTCTCAACTCATCACCTGCCTCTAGAATTAAAGACTATGTCACCACTACCTAGCATTTTGGATTTGTTTGGAGACAGTCATGGCTATTGGTGGAACTCTAAAATCAGGCTGCTCACTACCTACCTCTTCCAAATGCTGGGACTAAGGGGCATATATATACATATATATATATATATATATAGTTCAAGATTCCTGGCTATTGGGTTTGTTTTGCTCCTGGGAATTGAACCTGGGGACTTGTGTATGTTTCTTCCCAATCTAGTCCTGTATTTGCTGTATCAGGATTATTTTTCAGATAATTTTAATTTCCCTATTGACTCCATCTTTGATTCATTTTCTATTCAGGGGTAAATTACTGACTTTCAGTGTAAAGTATAAAATGGGAGTATATCCCAGGAGTTATTTGAATCCAATTTCAGGCTAACTCAGACCCCAAAGACTTCACAAATGATGAGTCATGCCCACTAGCGATGATGCATGCCTTTAATCCCAACACTCACAGCAGATTTCTGGATTTGATGCCAGGCTGGTTTACAGAGTTCTGGGACAGGCCCCAAAGCTGTAGAGAAACCCTGATCAAAAAATTTTTAAAAAGAAAAGACAAATGATTCATGGATAACAGTGAATGTGAAATGGGGGAACAATATTTGAGTTTTTATTGGTTCTTTGGTTCCTGCCCTTTTTTGCTTAAATGTAATTAAGTTGTGTAAATTGTTGTCTTTTGAGGTCTTCTTAAAATCAATGCTTCATTAATTGATAGGTCTCGGGTCCAGAACAGGGAGCAAATCAATTAAAAAAAAAAAACTTGAGTGTCCCTTTCATTTTTTTAATCCCAGTAGAGTCAAGTGGATCTCAGAAGGCTGTCATGTCTACATAGCTCCATGATGGCCAGAGAAACTCTATCAGGGAGGAGGTGGGGACTCCTTGTCCTTTTATCCAAGCTGGCAAACAGTTAAAAAACAAGGCAGGATTGTGAAATGGTTTGTTTTGAAGCCCTCTGACCTCTTTCTGCAGTTTCTTCTATTTCTTTCCTTGCCTTCTAATGGGTCTTTTACTTTATCATATTCAGTTAGTTGATCCAAATTATTGTCCATGTTAGTACTAGTCTGCCAAGGAGCCCAAAAATAAAATTTCTCTATTCCGTTTACCAACGGTGGTACAAAATATAAAGAAAAATCAAAAGCAAGTCAGGAAGTGGTGATTCCATACAGCTTTTAATCCCAACAGAAGCAGTGGATCCCTGAATTTAAGACTAGCCTTGTCTACAGGACTACAAAGGCTACACAGAAAAACCCTGTCTTAAAAAGGAATGAAAAAAGACAAAAGCAACCTTAGTAGAAATAGAAAACAAATGAAAACCTTTCTTTCATTCATTAGTTTGGAAGAGGCTGTCTTCGAAACTCACTCAGACCAATCTGGCCTTGAATTTAAAACAATCTTCCTGCTCTCAAGGGTAGGAATACAACAAGCATGTACCACCATTCACAGCAAGAGAGATTTTTTTTTTCCTACTAAAGGAAATAAATAGATTGTGTCAAAACCAGTTCAAGTATAGGGAAAATACAGTTAGGCCTAAGGAACACTGCATGCATAAAGTATAGTATGGTTTAGAACCTACTTGTAGTAAAATGGGGATGTTAACATAAATCCCCAATGGAATAAAAAAATAAAGCTGAGTGCTCAGCACATTACCAGAACTTTTGAGCAGTGGGGTTCAAGTTATAAAAAGGTTATATCTTGACATATTCAGTAAGAAGACATGATCAGAAGTCGGCATATTTATCCATCATTAACTGAAGGGATATGTGTGTGTCTATGGCGTGGGGTTGGGTAGAATGTGCACATGGATGCAATTGCCCTTGTAGGCTAGAAGAGAGCGCAGATCTACAGCTGGGACTAGAGGCATGAGCTTGCAATGTGGTTGCTAGGAACTGAGCATGGGTACTCTGAAACACAAGTACTTTTGACCATTGAGCCATCTTCATCCTCATCATTGACCGAGGGGTTTATACCTGAACAAGAAACAAGTCCAAAAAGACATCATTTTCGTGGAACTCTATTTGAAAGTGCTAATTTTATAGTTAAAATTACTTTTCATTGAGCTTGTTAATTCAAACCTTTTAATATACACTGGATGGCTTTTTCTCACAAGCATGGAAGACTAGCTTTCTAATTTACAGGTATTGACTGGGTAATTCTTTTTTTTAATAAAAAGCTAATACTAGTCATTATCAGGAACCTAGAGTTGGTAGTTTGTTAACGAACTGCCTAAGAGTTCACTAAAGACTCAAGTCTTTAAAAACCATAATGGGACCTCACTACAATAATATGAAATGTATTTGTTTCAGACTGGTTTTGCAGGTTGAGAGCAGAATTTACATATTTGGCTTCAGTAACTTTAGCCCAGCTGGAATTCAGTTGCCCCTGCCTTGTGTCAGATTTCCAGATAATCTTAAAATATAGTAAGTACAAATCTACCATTTGTGCTTTCTAAAATTAGTTCTGTTGCCAGAAACCTAATCTGCACAGCACTTGGTCAAGTGTCCTCTGAACTAACGCCTTAAAAGTTTGCTGCTTGTAGTATATATTTGAGCTTCTGGCTGTTTTTGTGTCTCTCCAATTGCCCAGTGGGGATTAGAGCCCTTTCCTGGTTTTTCTTTCAGTTTTTTAAGATAGTCTCACTGTGTAGTCCAAGTTGGCTTCAAACCTAAATCAAGTTTCTAAAGTATTAGGATTTTATAAGCATGAGCCACCAATTTGGTTTTAAAGGGAATCTTAACTGGGAAAATGTCTCCATAGGATTGACTTATGGGTAAGTCTGTGGGGCATTTTCTCAGTGGTTGACATAGGAGGGTCCAGCTCATTGAAACAGTACCACCAATGGTGAGAAGAGTTGGATAGTGTAAGAAAACCAGCTGGACTGGGTGGTGGTGGTGGTAGAGGAGCATGCTCTTAATACTCAGGAGGCAGAGGCAGGCTGATCCCTGAGACCAGCCTGCTCTACAGATAGAGTCCAGGAAGTCAAGCAAGTCAATAGGCAGCAGCATTCCTCCATGGTTTCTGCTTCAGTTTCTGCCTTGATTTCTGCCCTGACTCCCCTGTGCTGGAGTATGACTTTTAAGTTTTAAACTGAAAGCTCTTTCTGCTCCCCAAGTTACTTTTTGTCCTGATGTTTTATCACAGCCATAGAACCCTTAGCCAAGACAGAAGCCGTTAGCTAAAATAAACTTCTCCCCTCCCCCCAAAAAAAATGTTTTAAAAAGTAAAAAATGCTTATTTGAAACTCTTAGCATTAAGACTATATATTCAGGGTCTGACAAGATGGCTCAATAGGAAAAGGCACTTGCCACCAAAGACCTGAATTTGGTCCTGAGAACCCATTTCCCCAACCCAAGTTGCTATCTGATCCCCAAATTCAAACCATGGCATTCATACATGTGCACACACAAATAAATATAAAAATACAAAAAGAGGGGTCTGGAGAGATGGCTGAGAGGTTAAGAGCACTAGCTATTCTTCCAGAGGTCATGAGTTCAATTCCCAGCAACCACATGGTGC